GTGTGTGTGTGTGTGTGTGTGTGTGTGTGTGTGTGTGTGTGTGTGTGTGTGTGTGTGTGAGCGCTCTATAGTAAGAAGGTTTAGGTTTAGCAATTGGGATGTATAGGGTAACTAAGAGACTTTGCCAGTATGAATGGAATGACCTCTAGTCCCTGTCTTCCTCTTTTTTATTTTTTGTGAAGTAGATCTTTTGGTATGCTGTACCAGAGGCTAAAATCCAGAGCAGGGTTTTGTCTTTTGTTCCTCTGTGAGATCACATACCTTTTTCTGCTGTGCAGGTGATCTTCACTAGCCTGCAGGGAGACAAACAGATCAATCCTTGACTGAAAGTCACTTTCACAAACTATGCTACAACTTGTTGCTGTTACACACATTCACAAATACTGAGAAGTAATAGATGCTCATATAATTTCATTGCAGTTTTGAAAAGAGAATGTACATTGATGGATGATGTAATCTCTGTTTAACTTCTCAGTCATTTCAGAGTACAGTTGTCTTTGTACTGTACTGACGTATGACATTGACAGTAGTACATGATTTAATCTTGTCTTTCTGTGTCTTTTTGTGTGTTCAGGGATCAAAGCTTCAGGAGCCATGTGCAGGCCGGGACTGCAGTGGACCATGCCCGTGTTTGCCATTAAAGGGTAGCAGGGTGAGTAATGAGCATCTCTGTTTGCCAGTGTTGAGACTGTTCATAACACTCTCTTGACCTCATCCAGTATATCATACACAGTGTTGGGGAAGCTACTCTGAAACTGTAGCTTGACCAGCTACAAGCTACTCGTAAATTAAAGTAGTTAAGATACATTCTAGCTAGCTACACTACAAGTTACTATCAAAAAGTACATTGAAGCTACTTTACATTTTTTTATTATTATTCATTTTTTTTACAATTAACATGACAAATAACTAAATAATTATTAATGAAGAATTATAATGAAGTTATAAGTAAAATATTTGGGGTTTAAAACAACATACTGTAATGCAATCATGATTTCAAAGAGTAGGGTGAATTCAGGTTGATTTGATTGGATTGTTCTTGCATTGATGTTACGTTTGTAGCAATATACTAATATAACTAAAATAACAATTTAACTATATAGTATTTTATTATTGTGTGTATCGAATAGTTTACAAAATCAAATGTTTGGGACACTTTTTGTCATTGAAATGGCTTGGAAAAGTGTCCCAAACATTTGATTTTGTAAACTATTCAATACACACAATAATAAAATACTGTATAGTTAAACAGTTATATTAGTATATTGCTACAAACGTAACATCAATGCAAGAACAAAATGTATGCAACTTAAACTGGATATGGAGGAGTCATAAAATAAGCAAGTTAAACTCACACAGCACATGCGGTATTTACTGACTGTGAATAGAGACGTCAGTCATCAGCTGAACGCGTGAACACTGCG